ATGGTGCCATTAGTGTTGCTCAATGTGTCTGAAACCAGTAAGATTTGCAGTGCATCAGAAGAAAGGACTTCACTTACATGACTTGTTTACTATGAACATCACCATCACAAACAGGTGAACTGCAACAGAACAGTAAAAATGCAACTGCAAACCTGTCTTGTGTGCTGCTGAAGAGATGGATTGACTCGGTGGGGATTAACCAGTACATTTGAAAGGCAGGCTATGTGATTTCTGTCACCTAAGCAACTACCCTTGCCATGGCAAGTGACCATGTGCATCCCCAGCTGCCCTGTTAAATCACAAACCACGAGCTGCGAAATTCATTGTATCTCCAGAACTCCTCTATGACCTCAGTGCGCGGTTCTGTTAAACTAATACATTTCCTTTAAACCCAAGTTACTTTATTTCAAGCTTGTGTTTTCAAAGCATGTCCTTCCTTTCAGGAAAGCAAAGGAAGAGGACACAGTGTATGCCCTGTTGTCTGGATACTTTCAGAGAGTGGAGGATGGCTGAAACATCTTGAAATTAGCAAGTCAATATTCAGAAATACCACCAGCAGTGCACCAAGATCCTCCAAGCCTGGAGAACATAAAAGACAGGTCATTACTATGACTTCCACTGTTCAGTTTCAGGTGTCCACAATTTCCTGGAGCAAGCAATAGTCTCAACTTTTATTATACAGTAATTTAGAAATACATAAGCAAACAATATTCACCTTGTTTGTTCTATTAGGACAAACTTAGCAAAAGCTTGCTAGGTTTTATGGAGATCAAAGTCATGGATGGCATGACTTGTAGGATACAAAATATGTAGATTAGAAGGTCATGTAAATTAAAGCTACTGGGATTAAGTACTCTTAGGGAAACTTTTTAGACTTTTTTTCTGCACAGTAAATTTTAGGACACTTTTGCAGTAGCAAATGCAAACATGGCGGGAAGACTGATGAAGCTTCTGTTTCAGGTCTGCAAAATCTACTGCCTTCTGAAGAAAATATGTATATGTACATGCATACTTCAAAATCCCCAGTCTCCTATTCCTCTTCAGTCTTCTTATTGAGTAGCTTATGAGTGAATCATTATTTCAGTAGCACAGCTCAGGTAAGCCTGAAGTCCTCCCCATCTTCTGCTTTTCCTCACTGGCAGAGCATTGGAAACTGTAAAGTCCTTGACTTAGGGTAAGCACTACTTGGCAATAAGAACACTGGTGTGTTATCAACATTATTTTCATAATAAATCAAAAACACACCACTGTACCAGCTAAGATTAACTCTATCTCAGCTGAAACCGGGACAGTATAATGAGACTCTCAATCTCAGGCTTGTGGGTTTGAGGCCCACATTGAGCTCCACTTAGCCTTGTTGGTCTTCACACATACTTTGCTTGGTGCAAGGACTTCGTATCTTGTTACTTATCCTCACTCAATATGGCCCTCTCTCAATCTTCCCACTAGTCCAGCAGGAAGAGAATTTGAAGTGATCTTAAGTTCATATTGACTGGGCAGTATACAGCGATTGCTAACCATTCCATGGTCCACTTTCCTAAAATCTTTTGGAAAGCACAGATTTTGTTACCATGAAGCAATTGCCAAAGCAATCCTAAGTAAGAAAATACAGCTTATGTGAACAGTAGGAGGAGAAAATGGGAAAAAAAACCCCACCAAAACCAACACAAAACCCTCACAAAACCAACCTGACAAGAGATTCTTCTGTCCAAAGATGAACTTGTCTCAAATTACACTTACTTTAAGAATAAGGTTCCTCACTCCATTTACAGATGCATCTATTGATGCAAATATATATGTTTAGTATAGTATGCAAGTTGAATGAATTCCAGAAGCTAGGAAGCTAACTGACAGTATGGCAATTTCAGTTATCCTGAACTTACAGTAGTAAGCTTTCAAATAAAGTACTAGAACACCTTACTGGAAAAATAGTTTGTTATCTAAAAGAAAAAAAAAATAGCACCTATGCTGCTTGCTATGTTACTGTCCATCAACCTTTCCTAATGTTACATCATTCTTTCCAAAAATAACTGTTTTCAAGAAATATACTGGTTTCTACTGGAGAAGAAAATTGTCATGAGACCACTTCTGGCAACCTTATTTAAAAAGTAATCTAAAACAGAAAACTTGAGAAATCCATTTTCAAGTGTCAGATAGCCCCCCAGACAATAGAGTTACGGTTCTTAGACTTTCAAGGAAAGGATAATCACCACAGCCTTTATAAAGCTCATATGGAGTTCACAGCCCAGAAGGTGAGCAATACCAAGGGCTCAAAGCCTCTTGCACAGGGCTTCCACGGCTGCAGTGACAGCCAGCAGGGTGATGGAGATGCTCAAAGGTTGCAAATAACCCTTACCACACCAGCCTCGCTGCAGGTGCCCTCTGCTGCTTCCATCTTGATCCTCATAACCAGCTTGTGAAGAGGGGCATTAGAAAGCTGGCATCAGCTGTCTACTGCAGGTATTTCTTTCAAGGCTTTCCAGTTCTCCATCAGGACAGTGGAATTGAAATAGAAATCTCGCAAGATTATCAAATAGCTTCCTCTAAAATCACAGAGCTTTTGTCTCAGCTCGGTGAGTGCCCCTCACTATGCATTATTTACAGGGAGACACCGTGCCACAGATGTGAAACTAAACGTAACGGATAATACAAACCTGACCACATTGCGGTTGTAAAAATATGCAAAGATTCTGTCTATAAGGTCTTCATTTTGTACATTTTAGCAATGTAAATGAGACTGGCAGCCATTAAACATTTATGACTATACTTGCTTCCAAAAAATTGTGAATTTATGACCATATGGGAAACATGTTGATGCTGTGCATTAGTTTTATTCTATATATAAATGTCTTGAGCAAATAAAAAGTCATGGTAGTATAAATTACTGAAAAAAACACTGTAGTAGAAAATTACAGAGCATATTAATACACAAAACTGTAGGAAAAGAATTTGAGTATTTGGTCACATATTGGTAAAATTTATTTTAAAAGCAGAAACAAAACTGATACATGTGTCCACACACACAACACACATAACATAGGTTTCACATGTAAGTGTCAACATCTTACATTTCCGTTTCTCAAATTTTGTTACCACAGCAGTGTTTAGCTTTATTTTTTTTTATAAAGACTTCCATTAATTTATTTTTGGTAAATGTTAAAACAAAAGGGTAATACATTTCTAGAAACTGAAGCTGTTAAAAAAATCATATATATGTAAGTCTGCAAAAATAAAGCCCTTATGCCAAAAAATTGAAGTGGAAACATAGCTAAAGAGTAAGATTGAGATTGCACACAAACTTCTGCGGTGTGTCCCCTCCCCTCCACTTAATATTGTCTTTGTCTGAAGTGAAAATAACTAAATCCTGAGAATAATCCAACTGAATCATGTGACGCTATCAGAATACAACAAAAGTATTCCCATGCTTACAGTCACATACAAATTGTTTCATCCTTACACTAAATTAGCAAACTTGGAGTATTCCTCTCCACTCATTCCAAACTTATATTCTTAAGACTGATTTTCTTTTCCCCCACTCCAGCGTACTCTAAAAATCTTAATAATTGCATTTCGATTAATATGGTAGATGTTTATTTGTGCAATTCATTGCTGTAAGGGGTGTATGGCAAAGATTTCTAATGTCAAAAGTGCTGAATATATACATTGCATTGTTTTAACAGCTACTGAAATCATTTGGTAATACCATGTTTTAGAAGACTGAGAGCCTAACAGAACATCATCAAGTACTGCTGCTTCAAAAAACCTTTGAATGGGGGTTTTATCCTTGCTGAAAAAAAACCCCAAAAAAGTGGCGTATCAATATACCCTTATACGCAATATACCAATGGTTGTCTCCAGTGTTAGAGGAAAAACATTCAAACAGGAATATATCCAACTGTAACCCGTTGCATATGTATCACTTGTGATTTATTTAATGTAAAATTTGACATATTGCATGGAAATATTACAGAAGTCCTTAAAAATCTGGGGTTTCTTTAGTTTTCAAGATGGTATTTTAGAATTATTAAGATTAAAAACAACTGGAGCTTATCTGCATAGCGGTTGATTCAGTTTTCCATCAAAACTGATGACTGAATTAGTGCAAAACTTTCACTATGTTCAATTTTTGTGTGTTTTAGTTGACAGTACAATATTCAGCTCTACTTTTTCAACTGAATTTATTACCTATGGCAAACTTGGTTAACAAAACAAAGAAAACACATAAGAAAACTTTCAGACAATCCAAATAGCATTGTTTGTATAAAAAGTATTTATCTTAAACTTTCCTTTCTACCTTCCCCCCCACTCAGATTGCCAGAAATATGAAATATGCATCTGATAATGTAATCCCTAGTAAAAGTATTGCTACTTAAGGAGAAATGTAAGAGTCAAACATAGTCTATTTGTATGCATTTGATTATCAGCTTTCTTATGCTTTCCAGTTATTGTTTTATTGGTAGCAGGTATATGTGTCCTCTCAAACTTTCAAATAATTTTATAAAAAGTTAGAAAAATATACTCAATATTTTTTGCATAACTTTCCTATATTCTCCCTAACATACATGAATCTTACAAAATGTTTTAGAATAATTTATTAGCTGTAAAAATACCAACGACTGTGCAGCACCTGGAGAAAGGTCTGGGTGAGAAAGTACAATCCAGTATTATATGATCTTGGAAGATATTTTTCTTCAGGTTTACAGCTATGTATTTTCACAAGTAAACCCAATAAATATTCAATACCATGTTCATATGAGCATCCATGGACACCTAGACCTTTCTTGATTTCATGCTAAATTCTGAAGAAGAGCTGGTGATAAGAAAAGTAAATGACAGTCCAATCCACTAAATACGACAGAATGACCTCCATGTTTAATTGTCACCAAGTTATTTTGTAACAAGCTGGTAAGTGTGTGATTTTTAAAATTTTCCTTCAAAAGCAAAAAAAATTTCTGAAATAATATTTTGATTATGTTTTATAAATGCTATTTATGATCCAGTTAAGCAATGACATCATGGGTATCACTGTTGGGTCTTTGGCGTATAGTCAGTGGAGGCAGAGGCTTTCCATAGAAATCTGTATATAAAATAGAGAAAAAAACCCCACATTAATCTGTCATTTATTATCTCTCTTGCTTAAAGGATGTTTAAATAAGGTAAATTCTTGCTTCCTTAATGAAAACAAGGTGGCCTACAAGTTTAGAGCTAATTCCTACCAGCAACTTTCAGACATAGTGCTAATTAATGTCTGGAGGTGTACTGGCCAAAACAAGGATTAATTACATTTTGTTATACATCATCAGCATTTGCAAAATCAAGCCCAAAGGTGATCTGTAAACATTCCTAAAAATAGGAAATAAGTCATCCAAGGTGTCTAAGTAACAACTGAAGAAATGAAGTATTAAAATTTGAATGTTGCTGTAGTCAAGTCTGCATTGCAATAAAGTTTTAAGTGACAGTAAAGCTATGCAGCATACAAAATTTAGGGGCCATTCATGCATGGCATCTGTCTGGAAAGCCATACTAACTTCCTGAAAGAACTATATTAAGAATTTTTAGGTGAAAGTGCAATGTTTCCTTTTCTCAATAAAGGAGTTTAATGTAGTAAAATTGTTAAAGACAAAGTTATTAAACACTCCAGAAGAGAATAACAAGTATTCTCATACATCTGTGATTGATCTAAGAGCAAAAAAACCCCAACATGCAGACTGGTACATGCAAGCATTTCACAAGGAAAATAAAATAATATCATGAAAGATGGTAAGAGGAAACAGGTAGAAATCAAGAAAAAATAAAAGCAGCTTTTTGAAGCATTCAAATCTCTAGTTTGTTTATACAGACAACCTCTTCCCCAACAAAGCCTTGATGGTCTGCCAACACAGAATTCCAAACCAAATGATTATAGTGTAAATGAAAACCTGTACAATGGATGTTTTATTAGTCAGTTTCTTGAGGCCTGGCTTTAGAACTGGCAGACAATTTTACCTCCTATAATGAAAGAGGTTTATCATTCTTGCAAATATATCCTCCAGTGACAATAAATAGACACTCATTACCCAGTGTTGTGCTAAAATCATTAGCATGACTGGAAAAAATTGCAGTATTTAGTGAAAATAAGTGTATAATTGACTCCACTGTCTGTTAACTCTCCCTAAACATCCAACATAATGTTCTCTGCTAAGAATGATACAAAAATGACTTAATATATATACTAAATAGCCTGCTTACCAACACTTGAATTTTTCAGCTTGCACATTAAATCACTAAGACAGATTTATGTCTCTGAAAACACCTAGCATTAAAACCCAGAACTTTGGATGTTGTTTTAACCTCACACACTACACTAATTCACATATTTCAGCAGAAAGGTCTACCGCATATTTGTGACACTCCCAAAAATCTTTTCTAAGACAAAGCCAAAGGAATAACTGCTATTCTAACTGACAAAGACCCATACTAGATCTCATGGGAATACTGACAAACACCTATTCCTGTGTTTTCCTATGGACCAGCAGAAATCAACACTACAAAAAGTCGTATCTGTTTTGAAGCTTCAGGGGTTGACTTCTATTGAGGAGCTATCAGCTGTTTCACTGATAAACTCTTGGACATAGACTTTGAGAGTACTCCTGAAAATGACCTCTATGCATAACCAAGGCTCTTTAAACTTTTAAAAGCAGACTGTTAAATACTCTTTTTTCTTTCCTTGCTCTTAAGGACAATTACAATTTTTCTTGGAGTCCTGACAAAAAGTATCTACTAGGCATCCTACTGGAACTGAGTTTTTTCAGCCTGGTCTACATGAAGGTAGGTGCTCATTTGCCCCATATACAAAGACTTTTCAACACCTTGCCCAATAACTGTTTGTCAAAGCAAATTCTTCAACAGAATGCAGTATGGCCATAGAAAAAAAGTGCACTTCAGTGAATCTAAAAAAAAAAAAAACCCACTCCAAGTTTCCTCTGATCTCAATGGCTATATGTCTGGTCAAGAGATCATTTCCCTTTTCCATCATTACATTCCAAAATACTTTGATTATTATCCTTATTTTACAAATAGACTACATTAACACAGATCTTGTTACTAACTTACACATCCGTGAGTTGGGAACCAAGCTTAAGTGGGTTTTCTTTCCCTCTTTGTCCCACCCATGCTCTTGCTACGAAATGTAACGCCTCCCTTAGGCACAGATCAAAATTGAGTACCACCTCTTCCCTTTCTTCCCCTCCCTACCTCTTCATCTGGCTTTTCTTTCTTGCCGCCTTCTCTCTATATGCCTTTAAAAAAGAAGAGCAAGATGGTTTTATGATTAAGACTACAAATTACATTTTATGCACATTAATTACGTTCCTGCAAAAAATAAACATCTAAGTTTTAGAGATCTTAATTCCCCCTTAGGCATCTTTTGATTCTTTGGCAGAGAAGCTCCATGTTCTGGAACTTCAGAACTTCAGCAGGTATGTCCACATGGTGCTATACTACATGATAGTAGTGCAATCAATTCAAGCCAGGGTTAAGCTCGAGGATCACTACAGCCACACTAAGCTCCTTTCTCTGCGAGTTCCTCAATTAATGTTCTATTTGTTCAGTTTGTGTATGTGTTCCCATTGCTTTAGTTTGGTTATCCTTCTCTCATATTCTTCCAGATGTCTCCATATTCACTTGGCTTTTCAAAATTTGAAACAGAAAAATGAAAGAAAAATGAAGAATTTATTGTCCTAAAATGAGAAAAAGATGGAATATGAGCATATAAAAACCAATAAGCATATAAAAAACTATCATACATGGTCTTCCAAAACCAGAAAATAGTTATTATTGAAGAGAGAAATCATGAATCTGCCTAGTACTCCTTAACATTTCCAGTTATTAAACTTATTTCTCCCACCAGTTTGTGAACTTTCAGGGACACTGCCTCTTCACAGTGAAGCAGCAGAGTCCAAGCTTTATCAGAGACACCTGCCCTGGCAGACCAATAACCTAGTTCTCAGCTTGAAGTCTCACTACTTTCGCAATCAAATTTACGTTGGGCTTTTCATCATAGCTGGGATCTGCAGTCCCTCATTTGGAGTAGCTATCATAATGCACTTAATTCAGAGGTGCCCACATGTCTTTAGCTTTCCTTCTCTCAAGAAAACACCCCCAAATCAATGACAAAATTCTTACAGACTGTGCTTTTAAAATCATATGGAAATTGTAGTGTTGGGTAGAAAAAAAATCTTGGACTGTGTCAAGGGGCAACACAAGGAGTCAGCTTACACGCACCAAATTCATCTGGATGCAGAGCTATGGTTCACAGAACTACAAAAATACATGGAGCACATTTGGGTTCAGCATTGTGAAGCGATTAGCACTTCCAGATCAGATCATAAGATCAGTGTGTAAACAAACAGGCAGCTTAGTGCAGGATCAGCCTGGATGTGGAAGAGCCACTATGGATACCAAATTAATAAGCCCTACTGCATCTCTGCAGTTCTCCTTAGGTCTTTCTGCAGTATCTCACACTTTTTCGAGTATCTAGGTAACCCAACTCCTGTCCTCATTGCATCAGATAATGATGAACTGTGAACATAAGGACAATGGAAATACACTTTGAAATTTTCATTTTGAATGTAATGTGTGTCTGGACTCAAAGTAACTGGCCCTATTGCTTCTTGCTATATGGCACATTATAACATTTAGGTAAATGCTGCTGTGCAAATCACTTCAGATCATTAATAGGTTCTGACACCTGTGCCACTTTAAACTCTATATGTGAATTTTTATGAGAGAACTAACTCTTTTTAGTAAAAAAAATTAGTAAGACTTGAAAAATCAAAAAGATGCTTTCTACTAAGCAAAAAGGTTAGCTTTTGGTCAATGAAAACTGGCATTAAGAAATAAAAAAAAGAGATGAAGAATGAAATGAATGTAGAAGTGAATAAACAAAGGAGAATGCTTCAAAAAAGTACAAAACCCAAAACATTTTCAATTACCAGCATGATGTGTTTCACCAAGAGGCTCAAGTTTTCGAAGTCTATTAAGTTTGGGAGTTCCCCAGCCAACTAAAGGAAAACAAAGACAGTCAAAACATGCCACGACTGCACTTGATTCTGACAAAATGTATGGAAGCCAGTTCTCTTTGGGAGAAATGAAAGCATTTAGAAATCACAAAAGTGTGTAATATATTGTATATATGGTGAATAATGATGAAATACTCTAAAAATAAACTGATTTACCCTTAAAAATACTGATATTTTTAATCACTTTTTCATCAGTGAGTAGTCAAGTTTCTGACTTTTTTTTGTTGTGAAAACAACAACATCCTCCTCCATGGAGCAGATCAAACCAATACTGCTGAAAGCTTATACCATGAAGTGGAAAACTGCATCAAAAATTTCCTAGAGAGTAAGGTATAGTAGCATATCTGTGAAGATCATTCCAATTTAATCATGCACATGTGAGTATTTTAAAGGATTAATAACCACAAATTGAGACATCATTGATTATTGTTTGTTAGTATACTTACCTGGTGGAAGAGTTGGTGGTGGTGTAGGATTTTTGGGAACAGTGTCCTCTGTATTAACAGGTTCTACTCTGTGGCCCCTTTTTAATTTTGGTTTTTTACTTTTTTTCTTGCTGTTATCTGTACCAAACAGAAATAAAGCATTACATATCATAAATCATATTCATAGAATATCTTAGATCACCTTCTAATACAGTTGATGCGATGAGATACGTCAGCATTTTCAGTCCAAATTTATACACAAAACAATGACACATGTAAAATTTATACAACATTTTGATACAGAAAATAAACTGTAAGCATAAAATATATGCAAACTCTACGCTTTCATAAAGAAATTTGAATCAGCTTGGTACTGATAGAAAGTGGACCACATATTTGATTATGATTAAAATGAACCTAGTTTCAGCTACAGTATCAGCCACACCAACCACCACACACTTTTTCAAAGCAGATTTTCTAATACAATAACCTGATGGTGCATTTTCATGTTTTGAATAGATTAAACTAATGTATGGTTTCATGAAAAATAATAAAGACATATGGAGGAACTATGTGAAAAATAGCATAAAATGACACATTAAAAGGCAGCAGTTCACCTGAGTCAAGGCATTCTGAGGCTTGTTGCTCATTCCCTTCTTCATGATGTAAAAGCTGTGTAGTTGTAGAATTGCATGTTTCTAATCTACTATCATTTGTGTTTTGGCTACTGCTACTTGATAAGTGATGGTCATCCATTTGTTCTTGTTCTGCTTGAGATTTCAAGACAGTTGTAGCCTTTTCGGTCTCCAACCTTTGCCGCTTTTTTTCCTTTTCGATTTGTTTTTCATTCTAACAAAAAGTATAAGAATTCTTTTAACAACTTGTAATGCTGTAAACTGACTAATAAGACAGGAATACTATTTTAAAAATCAAAATATTCTTAAAATCTTTTTCTTTTCTGTCCCACATCTAAAAAGAAAAGGATTAGCAGCAAAAGAAATTATCTTTAGGTTCATAGGCTGTCTTCTTGCTTTCTTTTTCATCACACGACACACACAAAAAAGCTAGCTATGTAAGCAACATCAACATTCCTGAGCAGAAGGTTAGAAGCCTCATCATTTCTTCCTCTTTTATTAATGTGTTGGATTATATTTTTAGTTAAAACAAAATACACATGCACAGAGCTTAAGTATGCAGAAATTGCTACCACGATTTGGACAAACACCAATTGTGTCATACAGACTCAGTGATAAGCTGTTTCACAGGTTCAATATCACCAAGTCACTGTCTCTGCAATACTTGTAGCTATACCTTTCTTCTCTTACTCTGTATGTTACTATTAAGTGTATTACCGTGCATGTAGCTGACTTTAGAACATATATGGATATGGTCACTTTTGTCCTCGAGAGAAGCAAATGTTTGTACTACTGAGAGTCTACGTGTTTCTCAAGATTATGTTATCTCAAGTCAACGGAATAAAACAATACAGTGCAATAAATAAGAACTACCTGAACCCAGAAACACATATTAAGGATATTTTGTATATTAATATACTTTTCATATTTCAGAGCTAAGAAAATGCCTCAATTGTCTCAGTTTTCAACAGAAAACAGGTTATGCTCAGAAATCTAAATAGTTGAAGTAGTCAAGGAGATTTATATGACTCACTACATCACCAAAACACTTTACAAGAAACTAATAGACCTTGAGTATTTTCCACCCCTGAATATCCATTAGTTTCATTAGGAAATGTGTTCACTCAGCTGTTTACAATACCTTTATTTTACTGTGTCTACAGAACTTTTTGTCACCAAATCAGTAACAGGGGATTTTCTTAACATGAAAACATTGATTCAATGCACATAAAACAAGACTGATGAGATTAAAAAAATAAATAAATGAATGCTGTGCATACAAACTTAGAACAATTCTTTTAAGTGAACTATTTTTCTCATTACCTCTCAGACATTTGTTAGTGGTAGGTCTAAAACGATCCAGATTTCCACATATTCTCATACCTCAGAGATTACAGCAGATATAGGCTGGAAGGGGTTTTCAGAGTTCCCAGGCTCAGGGTCTTCCTCATCAGCTACGCATCTTCCTTCTTCTCTTTCCCCTT